TCTACGACCTTTTGTCCTATGCTATTAAAAATCCTTAAATTAGCAAAAAAAATTGTGGGTCACTCATGGGCAAAAAACTATACTATCGCTCAAGTTGGACGTAGTTTAGGAGTCCATCGCGGACAAACAACGTGACACGTTAATTATATATATATATATATATATATATATATATATATATATATATATATATATATATATATATATATATGTAATCATCCTTCCACGGTAAATGTCGATCCAGTGAGAAGTTAGAACAATTGTTGATCCACCTATTTGACGTGTTTGCTCAGCTCCTCGTCGCACAAACTGATATACTTTGATCCATCCTTGATGCGCGTGCGACGTCGGTGAATCTGCACTAACAGGTTAAGGAAAATGATATTAGACCTGTTTCGACAGCGCATATATTTATTGATACTTTTTTAATGGTTCATCTAGAATACAATCTAATGCCTGTAAATAAACGGTGGTTAAGATATTAAATAAGTTTATGCTTAATACTTATAATATAGATTGCAGTTATTAAGATACATCTACGTGATAATTGTTATAAAGCGGTATTGTAGGTCCGTTGATTACTAATAATTATTACTAATATTTATTTTGTTTTTTAACAGTGGTAGAGCCACGCGGCAGCTTTGCTGTTGCACGTATGGGCCGGCTCAAACCGGGGTGGTACCACGACCTCACAGAATACCGGCGTGAAGTGGAAGCTCTGCTTCCGCATTTCGTCTGGTGAGCGCAGGTGGCCGGAGGCCCAAATCCCCCCCCCCCATCAACATGGTAGCGGAATTAAATGATGATATACTACTCCAGGAGGGTACCAGCACCGCAGGAGAATCCCTCGCTGAGCATCCACGACCATGTTTCTCCACTTCTGAGCGTGGGTGCTCAGGCTGCCCCGTGTATTCTGGGGGGGAGGGGCAAAATTCCGCTCAAGACTACAACTGCTCGGGGCAAACGGTGCAACAAAACCAAGGCGACCCCTGCCACGCTGTCCGTGAATTTCTGCAATATCAGGGGACTTCACTCTAACCTAAACGCCGTCCACTACCATCTCGAGACGGCGAAGCCGGCTCTGCTCTTTCTGACCGAGACGCAGGTGTCCTCTCCGGCTGATGTCTCCTATCTCTCCTACCCGGGGTACAAACTGGAACACTCCTTTGTGCCTCGGGCTGGAGTTTGCGTTTACGTCAGAGAGGACATCTGTTCTCGACGCCTCGGCAGACTTGAAGGTTCGGACCTGTCCATCTTTGGCTACGCGTAGACAGCGACTACCATCCGTGCGTCTACGGGTGCCTCTATAGGTCCCATAGCGGTAATGCCGAAACAGACCGACTCTTCGACCACGTCCAAATGGCTACAGATTCGTTGCTACAGCACATCCCCTCCGCAGAGATCGTGATCCTCGGCGACTTTAACGCCCATCACGCCGAATGACTTAATTCACGTTTAACCGATCATGCGGGGGAGATCTGTTCATGATTTTGCCTTGGCATATGGTCTCACACAAGTGGTTACTTCGCCTACGCGGATTCCAGATGTGGAGGGTCATGCACCTTTCCTGTTGGACCTTCTGCTGACCTCTCACCCGGCCGGATATCAGATTTCCGTTGACGCCCCTTTAGACTCCTCGGACCATTGTCTTGTTCGGAGTGTGGTGCCACTCACGCTGAAATCGCAGTTGCAATCTGCAGGCTGCCGCCGTGTTTGGCACTATAGGTCAGCTGATTGGGATAGAATGCGGTCTTTCTTTGCATCCTACCCTTGGGGGCGGGTTTGCTTCTCGCCGGACGATCCCAACGTTGTTGCGGATTCTGTCACTGATGTGGTACTTCAGGGTATGGAACTTTTTATTCCTTCCTCTGTGGTGCCCACTGGAGGCAAATCTCAGCCATGGTTTGGTCGCTCCTGTAAAATAGCATCATGCTATAAGCAGGAGTGCTACCAAGCCTGGGCTGACGCATCAGCGTCCCGGGATGTAAACACCAGCGCTCTAAAAAAGAAGTATAATTCCGCCTCTAGGTCCTTCAAAAGAGTCATTGCCAAGGTAAAGTCAGAGCTAGGCAGAATTGGCGAGAAACTAGTCCGCCTTCCTTTCTGGAACCCGTGCATTCTGGTCTCTCGCCAAGGCTGTCCAGGGGAATTTCTGTCAGCCATTTTTTCCATCTCTGCACAGGGAGGACGACTCACTGGCCCATACCGCAAAGGAGAAAGCCGATCTTCTAGGCTTCTTTGCGTCCAACTCGACTCTCGATGACGGGGGGAGTACGCCGCCGACCATCCCGCGGTGTGAGTGCTCCATGCCGGAAGTGCAGTTCACTCAGCGCTCGGTTGGCAAAGCACTCCTCTCCCTGGACATCCACAAGTCGAGTGGGCCTGACGGAATCCCCCCAATTGTGCTGAGGACGTGTGCTCCAGAGTTGGCACCGGTTTTAACGCGTCTTTTCCGGTACTCCTACTCCCTAGGCGTAGTCCCAAAATCATGGAAGACGGCTTTCGTCCACCCGATCCTTAAAAAAGGCGACCGCTCAGACCCGTCCGACTACCGGCCTATCGCCATCACCTCCTTGTTCTCCAAAACAATGGAGTCCATTGTAAACTGCCAGCTCATGAGGTACCTTGAAGATCACCAGCTGATTAGTGACCGCCAATACGGTTTTCGCCGTGGTCGGTCAGCTGGTGATCTTCTGGTCTACCTAACTCACATATGGGCGGAGGCAGTAGAGTCCAAGGGGGAGGCATTGGCCGTTAGTTTGGACATTGCGAAGGCCTTCGATCGGGTTTGGCACAAAGCGCTTCTTTCGAAGCTCCCCTTCCTATGGGCTTCCCGATAAATTGTGCGATTGGATCACCAGCTTTCTTGCAGATCGGGGCATCAAGGTCGTTGTAGACGGTGCAAGCTCCGATTGCAAGCCTATTAATGCTGGTGTTCCACAAGGCTGCGTGCTATCGCCAACGCTGTTTCTTCTGCATATCAATGATATGTTGCAAACCTTGAAGCATTCTTGAGCATCACCAGTGCTGTCATCTGCATAGACATTCATTGCTATGCAGATGACAGCACTGGTGATGCTCTTTACACCGGCCGAGCCAATATTTCTCGGGAAAACGTCTCCGAGTGCCGGGACAAACTTGTGTCTGAAGTCGAGTCTTTGCTGAACAGTCTCGGATTGGGGGCGACTAAATCTAGTCCAGTTTAACCTCCAGAAGACACAAGTTTGCGCGTTAACCGCTAAAAAGAACCCCATTGTCGTATCTCCTCAGTTTCAAGGCACTCCCCTTGTTGCCTCAGCCAGTATCGGAATCCTCGGCGTCGACATATCGAGGGACGTGCAGTTTCGTGGTCACTTGGAAGAGAAGGCCAAATTGGCCTCTAAAAAGCTTGGCGTGCTCAGCAGAGCGGGACAGTATTTCATGCCGGCACACCGCCTGCAACTTTACAAGGCGCAGGTTCGGCCGCATATGGAATACTGTTCCCATCCCTGGGCTGGGGCTCCCCAGTACCAGCTCCTTCCACTTGACCACATCCAGCGCAAAGCGGCTCGAATCGTCGACAACCGAGTGTTTTCCGATCGGCTCGATTCACTGGCACTGCGAAGAGATGTTGCATCTCTTTGCATTTTCTTTCGTATATACCATGGAGAGTGCTCTGAGGAATTGTTCGGATTAATCCCAGCCGCCAAATTTCGTGAACGCACTACGCGGCAAACGTCGCGATACCATCCACATCATCTGGATGCTTGGCGGTCCACCACTGTACGTTTCAAGAGGAGTTTTCTTCCGCGTACAACCTCTCTGTGGAATAGTTTACCACCAGCGATTTTTCCGGACCGATACGACCTGGGGACCTTCAAGAAAAGATCGTACTCCTTTCTAAAGGGCCGGCAACGCACCTGCAATTCCCCTGGTGTTGCGGTTGATCATGGGCGGCGGTAGTCACTTAACATCAGGTGAGCCGCATGCTCGTTTGCCACCTCTTCTATAAAAAAAAAAATTAGTGAGCTAAACTGAAAAATTATGAATAATAAAGAAAAAATAATTATAATATTCTCAAATGCTTATTAATTTCTGTTGGTTTTGATTGTCATCTGTTGTTTCACCCTAAGTCAAAACAGGATCCTTGGAACAATTATTCCTTCATTATTCTACACATTTATCTCATCAGTAAATGTTTATCTCATCTTATTAGATATTTATCTCATTAGTTATAAAGTTTAGAACGAAAACAGTTTCATGGGAAACTTCCACTACACGTTCATTTTCCTGGTCTTAGCAACGTTGCTATACTTTTTCCCCTATTCTGATTATAATTAATTCGATAGACTTACTTACGCCTGCTCTGTTAATAATTAATTACTTACCTAACAACACGCCATACGCCGCATTGCTAAAACACTAAAAGTAGATAGCATTCGGATCACATCAGCCCCGACAAGCTGCCGACGCCCACTACCGCGCAGCTGTGCGGCGCAGCCACGTCCTTTCGAATATTAGCGACCGCAGCCCGAGCCGCGACTGCCACGTGCAGTAGTCAAGAAAAGTCTGGTGTGAGTTCGGTCTTATTTTACGTATCAGAACTATGTCTGATAACTCAAAACGAAACAAGAACTCCTAAAGCGACTTATAGAGGACAAAGAAGAGGATTATGAAATAATGTTGTTCTTACTCTCATCAAATATAAATAAAATAGATTCATTATATACATCAAGATATGAGGAAGGCAGCTATCAAATCCTAATTAATAAACACTTAAGAAATTCAGGAAATACTGTAGACTAAATAAAAAACCATTTAAATTTGTACTTAGTTTAATTGAGAACGATATTCGACCTATGAAAAAAGGATTAATTACAGCTGAAGAAAAATTATTACTCACTCTAAGGTAAATATAAAATAATATCATTTACATCACTTTGCTGGTAATTTGTGTCAGATACATATTCACAAGTATTTGATGGCAAATTTAATGTATTTGAAGTGTTTAAATCAGTAGCTTAAATTGGTGAAGTCGGTGATGAGATCGAACTTATTGGAGAATATGTATTTGTGAGTAAAAATTGAGAATTTTGATCGAACAGGGGACTATTTGAGGGAGGAGAAGAATTATCAGACCCTCGGCTCAGACTTCTTAATTCATAGTCTGCTAAAAGATTAAAAACTTTAGTTTTAGCTTCTATTCTTAATGCCGGAGTAAGTTTCCTTAACATTGTTCCCACGTGCGAGGAAAACGATTTGATGCCATCATCATCTGGTTCCTGCTCTTGGTTGGAATTAAGTGTCAGGGCTAGAATTTGAGCTCGCCTCTCAGCATCTCTTTCTTTCCAGTATTGCAATAAAGCAGTCTGCATTGTAGTATTTTGGCTTTTCTTTTTCAATACTTTTTCAATAGATTTTTTCATTTTATTTGGTAACTCATCAGTCTTTTCATTCATGGTCGGCGTATCGACCATTACCATTCTACTTGATCCTGCGTTATTCATTTCTGTTATTAGCTTCCATATTACTCTCTTCATTAAAACAGTTTACGTCATCATTATTTTTTTTGGTCATGTGGAAAGAATGAATGAGGAAAGAGTGACAAAGAAAATTTATGTTGCAGAAGTGAATGGCAGAGTCGGAAAGGGACGTTCTAGGCGAAAATTTATCGACCAAATTGGCGATTTATTGAAAACGGGCCAAATTAGGAGTACCCTTAACCGACGAGCATGTATGCGTAGGTGTATGGATGTGAAGGAGGCGAGAGAGGTGTGTCAGGATCATGCCAAATGGAAGTCTGTAGTCTCTGCCTACCCCTCTGGGTGACAGGCGTGAGTGTTTATGTATGTATGTATGTACATCATCATTAGATACATCTTCACTGTCATTAGAATTAGTATCATTAGAGGGCTCAATAGTCTCAATATTACACAAAGTCTTTCTTTCGGTGAGGACTATTTCCTAAAAAGTAAGTCTGTCAAGCAAAGCCCATTTTTTTAAATTGGCGCTAGCTGCTGATCCGGTTGGTAATTTATTTTTGCGCTTTAGTCTTTGATAAGAATCCCTGATGCATTTCCATCGTTTTCTGCAGTCATCACCTAAAACAGATTTAACGCACATTATATATATTGAAATTTAATAGGTAAATAAAGAGAATATAGTAGTACAAAAAAAAAACATTTATTTTTATTTCAGATTCCTGGCTACTGGTGAAACATACGCATCTTTAGACTTCAATTATCGCATATCGGCTAGTTATATAAGCAGAATAGTGCAACAAGTTCTTGCAAGTTTGCAGAAAAATCTAGTATCAATTTTCCTACCTGTGCCAACGGAAGATCAGTTAAAACATCAAAAAAATTTCGGAATAGGTGGAATTGTCCGAATTGTTTTGGGGCTATCGATGGCAAGCATGTACGCATTAAGGCCCCGCAAAGCAGTGGATCAACATTCTTTAATTACAAAGACTACTATTCCACAGTACTCTTGGCTATTATAGACGCGAACTGCAAATTTATCGCTGATGATGTGGGTTCGTATGGAAAGGAAGGAGATAGCGGTATATTTAAGAAGTCAGCTATGGGCAAAAAAATTATACTGGTTAATTTAATGTGCCTCAACCAGCACTATTGCCAGGAACAGATATTTTAATCCCACATTATTTAGTTGGTGAGATAGATGTCTATATGATGAAACCGTATTACAGAAACCATGTGAGAAATGATCGTAAGAAAGCAATTTTTAACTACCGCATCTGCCGTGTAAGACGAGTCACAGAGAATGCCATTGGATTGCTCAGTCAAATCTTCCGAATTTTATATACACCTATAGCAATTAAACCTGAAATATGTGATGACTTGATTATTACTATATGTTGCCTCCATTATTTATTACGAGATGCTTATTTAGAAAAAACGGAATCCCATATCCCATATCGATACGACGAAAAAAAAACTAAACCTATAGAGAATATGATTCCATTAGCTCGTAGGGGAGGATTTCGAAACGTAAATGGATTTCAAATCAGAGATATTCTTAAAGATTATTTTACTTCAGAAGCTGGAAAAGTTTCATAACAAGAACAATGGATATGGATTAATAGTATAAACTAATGTACTTCTACGCTTTAAATACCCCGACTTAAAATTTTTGTATAATGTGTACTTTTCACGTAAAATATGTGAAAATAAAAATATAAGTAGATACTTACTTGTTTTATTAAGTTTACTTGCAATATCCTCCCATGTGTTATCACTAACAATGTTATCTTTATACGATTTAAGTTGAGAATCCTAAAGTGGCGAGTTTTTAACAACTAATTCAACTAAAACCACATCATTTTCATCAGTAAATGACGTCATTTTGACTACAGCAATGAGCGAGCGTCGCTGCCACACTGCCTCCGGAGCATCAAGCGTCCACCACGCCCCCCGACCGCGCCGCACTGTCGCGTGCTTCGGAAAGTGTTCCATACAAATCCCTACAAAGCGGTGCGGAAGCGACAGGGTCGCGGTCGCCGCTGCCGAGCCGCCGGAATCCAAATGCTACCTTAACATCTTCCTTTACGCTTGTAGCGTCCCGGGGCACTTCCCCAGTCTATATTGTTACATTTTATTAAAAAAAAATCTAGATAGTTAAAATAAAGTGTGTAAGTGTAAACACCGTTGTCACTGAAACCATAGGTAGTTGGCTTTAGTATAAAAATATTTATCCAAATTTAAAAAAAACGCTATTTTCTTTCATAAAATTAAAAAAAGTTTCTGTCCGACACCGTCCGTAAATTCATGGATACCCTATGCGCCTGAGTGACGTAATCACTGTAAAGATCACCACCCGCCCTTGCTACCTACACAACATTCCAATAAAAACACAACGGTACACATAACCTGTGATTTTATTTTATTTAAACATGTGAAACAATCTAAATACATTTAGTGACAGTGTGACATAAATCAGCATTGGTTTTACCGCACACTGCGATTCGACATCTGTCGCTCGAACAGAACTAAGTAATATTCATTCTTAACTACTTACTTACACGTTAATTGCGCGATGTGATTACTGCGCACGCTATTTGACCGATCAACACGCATAACACATATTATGCACCTCTCACTCCAAAAGCCAGAGTAACTCGTTTGGGTTTGTAGATTCACACGGGTGACATTTTTTGTACAATTTTTTTTATATGTAACGTAATTTATTAATTTTTATGTATAAATTTTTTGTTATGTAACTTCTCCTTCATACTATCATCCTGGCTTAGGACAGGCAAAAATTCCTACCCTTTGTGTTGCGTGACGAGTCCAAATTAATGTAAGTTAGATTTAACAACAAAAAAATAAACATTAATAATAGTAAACCATTCGGTAGGATTTTAGGCGTATTTAAAAGGTTAATCACAATGTTATGCACACACGGCTACACAGTAAGCTATGCAAAACCAATGGGTAGCTCGCCGTCCAATCTGTCCAATAAAAAAAGAGCTGTTGGCAAACTGGCGGAAGAGGGCCAAACGCCTGTCGGTGTCGCGGGACTGTCTTAGCAGGATACCGCGGCCCTGGAACGCAAAGGGCATTTGAAGGATAAGCTGAAGTTCATTGTACGCATAGATCATACAAAGCGAGGCCAAGACAAACTGGTTTTGTATAGCTTGATGTGTAGCCTGATTGATTTATTATTTACACTTACCTATTAAATAAAATCCTCGTAAATGAATTCCATTTTGATCAGCTTTTACATTAATCGTAAAAGCTGTTCAAAATGGGATCCATTTACGGCCACGCATGCCTCCGCACGTTTTCGTAGATTGTTTCGCACTTTAGGAAGCACAACAGTGTCATTTCTTAAGTCTCTAAACGCACTACGAATCCGTCTTTTGAGTTCCGACGCATTACGGAACTTAGTTGCATACACTCGGCGTTTCACTTCTCCCCAAAGATAAAAGCCCAGCGGGGTAAGGTCGGGCGAACGCGCTGGTCATGCCACTGGCCCTCCACGGCGTATCCATCGCCCAGGAAACTTCTCAACTTCTCATTCAGCATAGCCCTGCTTTGCAGCTGAAAATGTGCAGGGGCACCGTCATGTTGGTAGTAGAGGTTTCTCAGGGAACGAAGAGGCACATTTTCCAACATCCTGTCGAATACATGTCGTAAAATAGCCATGTACGACTGTGCATTCAAATGGCCGTCAACAAAATAGGGTCCAAGAAGTTTGCCATCTAGATTTCCCGCCCACAAGTTTACGGAAAAACGGTGCTGATAACTGTTTTGCCGTATTCGGTGTTCGTTTACCCGACTCCAATAATGTTCATTATGAACATTGTAAATGCCCGACCTTGTAAACATTGCTTCGTCCATAAATGAAATAGAAACGTTATCAAAATTTTGAAGTAGCCATTGCGAAAATACCATCCGCGGTATGTGGTCGTTTTCATTTAATTCTTGAACCGGCTGAAAATGATATATGGATGTTGACGATCAATGTGTAGAATTTTCCAAATTGTCCAGGGAAATATAGGCCACCCACCTGATACTCTCCTCTGGGTTTTCCGCAAAGAAATCCAAGATACGTTCTTGAAGGGTAACTGGCGGCTGCTGGTTGCCACGCCCCTGAGCATGAGCCAGCACGGTAAATTATCCGTAGCTACGTAACCCTTGCGTGGCCACCAACAATGTTTCACGATTTGGCATAGGTTGTCTAGGGAAAATAATTCTGCGTACATTCGTCGAGCCTCGTTCAGGTTATCACCAGCTGCGGCATAAAGCCGTACCATTTCGGTCCACTGCACGTTTATGTCGGACATAATTACAAACTAAAACACACTCGCACAAAAACTACAACGACCTAAAACACAAATCAGCGGCGGGGAACGTCGACACGGCGCGCGGCGCGGCTAGCGTGGCAAATCAAATGTACACGTGCAGTCGCTACAGAGGCAGCGACAGACTGACACTATGGACTGATACCCCCGGCCTCCACCGCTGAGCTGCGCGCGAGATCCCGCGCGCACCGCGGCCGCTCTATGTCTTTACTGGAATTTATTATGCCTACGCGCCTAGGGTGAAATAATAGTAAGGAAAAATTGAGATTTTTACGTAAATTCGATGAAAAATAAAAAAAAGTTGTTATTTTTCATTGAATTTACGTTCTATAAGTGAAACCAACCCACTGGTTTCAAGGATAACGGTGTTTACACTAACACCCTGTATAATTTTCTCTCCCAGTAAAATAATCAAATGCATCCGATCTTTTCCTCGTATGAAGTAATTCCATCTTATACCATCACAAAGATTGAGATTCACAAAATTACTACTTTTTATACCAAATCTGAACGGATGCAAAAAAAGATAATCGTTTTGAACATTTATGTATGTAGTAATTTAAGGATCACATTTAAATACATTTTTGAGTAGTAAAGATAAAACAAATCCCTTTTATGAACTTTGTTCTCTAAGCAGTAGAAGTGGCTTTGAATTTACTTCCGGTCTTACCCCAATTCCAA